TGTCACCTTACTGTGTGGACATGAAATTATACTGAAGAGCTTCATGTTTGTCCTGCTGAGCCTGAAGCTGGAGGGAGACAGGGAGCTCTGTAAACTGGATGGGCAAAAATGTGAAGAGTGAAAGTACTTCCCACTAAAAACATTTAACCAGACTTTCAAAATCCGTACAGGAGCTGGCAGGAAGAAGGCAAGAGAAAATTCCCAACAAAAATCCGCCAAATTGATCCAAAATAGACATTTATCTTTGGGCTTTGGTCCTGCTTCTGCACTTATTCCAGGGATAAGTCCCCAGTGGACTAAGGGGAAGTAGCAAAGCAATGAAACCCCTTTCCATAACTCCTGGCAATGCTCTTGTGATGGTAACAAGCCACAGCCTCCCCAAAAGCCTCAGGGGGCTATACCACACCCATTCAGAGAGCTACTAATTGCATTACCAAACTGATTGGTTTTGCTTCCTAAATCCCTGTGCAGGGAGGCAGAGAGAACCCAATGGAGAAGCAAACCAAAGAACCAAAGAGACAACCCCCGTTGGAGCGTGCGGCGTGCGACCGTGGGCCCAGGGGGAGAGACAGCCACTGCATCAGTGTGACATTGGACTCCAGATGAGAAGGGGAGAGAAAAGTTCAAGGGTTAAGGAAGGTTAATCATATCTGAAGATGAAGAGGGTACAACTTAGTGCAAACTACATACTGCTAGGTAACTCCCAGGTGACCGTGCTGTGCTCCTCTGCAAACAAGTCGGACAAGATGAGAGACATTATTTGAAGCAGCCCCACAGTACAGCCAGGGTCAGACATCAGATGTGCAGCAGACACCATGACGACAAGGGAGGGAGGTGATGAGGGGAGGGCAGCAAAGAGGGAAGGGGGAGGTGAGGGTGAAAACGCAGGAAGGTATTTTGTAACAGAAGTGGAACGTAAAAAGACAGAGGGGTGAGAGGCAAACAGAAAGGGAGGCATCAGGGAACAGAAAGCAGTGCAAAGAAGAGTTAGAAGGAACTCAAAGGTTTGGGGGAGGGCAGAGCAGCATGTGAGAGGGAGGGCATGGAAGGGGGAGACACACAGAAAGTACATCAGTTATTCACCCAAAGCTACAACACCAAAACATTGTATTATTAAATGAGGTTAGGTCTGCTCTGATATTCCAGGCCTGATTCACAACCAAATGGGCACTTCCCTGAGGATAGCAGTGCCCTGGGGAACAGACACTGCCATGCTGCCAGGGACACTCACTTCTGCAGGTATCTGCCTGCCATGGAGAGGAGTTTCTCAAGGAAAGGCTCCTCCTGCTGCCAACTGCATTGCCATGGAAGGAAACATACTACTTGTGGTCTAGAATAAAGGACAACTTTGTTCTGGGAAGGGGGAAGGGAGGGAGAATGGGGTTGCTTTGGGGTCTGTTGCTTTCATTAAGCATGTTGAGTGGTGCTCCTGATAACAGAGAGAATCCCAGTGCTCACACAAAGGCTGCAGTTTCTGAAGCCAGCTGGGAAATCCACTAGCCAGTGAGGGGCAGCCTGTGCCAGCCCCAGGATGTCAGCATAAAGATCCTATCTGTTGGAGCTCTTGCTGTGTCTGCCACACAGGCTTTTAGTTTTAGGGTGCAGCAGATCTTTCACATTCTGCTTCCCATGGAGAGCAATGCAAACAGTCCCCAAGCCCAGACTGCTCCCTCCTGACTGTATGAATCAGGCCCTTGGCATGAGACATGACATGAGTGGTGAGAAGTTCTGACACTCAAGAGGTAGGACAGTTAGCAAGGAACATGTGAAATGGCCCAAAATGATCTGTGACATCCTACACGTTAACAGGGTCCACAAGTTGCTGTAAAAGTCAACTCTAGTGATGAGATTTCTTTAGAAAAAGCTAAACAAGGGAAATCCTCAAACACCATTTTACAGGCCAAAGACTCAGTACAGTATGTGCTGACTACTGTGGGAAGAGAAAAACCAGGGAGGATACTTAGTGTCCCAATGCAGCATTCCAGGCACAGGCTCCCTGCTAGTCCCTGTACCTACTCAATGCATCTAAGAGAGCCACAGCACATCTCCAGCTGTTTTCAAGGCTAGGGCACAGGAGTTTGCTTTGTCTGGCTGGTTGGATAGATGGCACACAACTGGCAATGGGAAACATATGCCTTTCAGGAATCCTGGCTGGCAAGTAGCACTGTCCCCAGTTAATCAGGACACCCTTGGGTGGGTAGGCATTAGTTATGTACCCAGCCAGAGGGATTGCTCTGGGCTGCTTTTTGCTGCAACCAGGATGAGTAAAACTGGGGACAGTGCTGTGACTGCACACAAACACCTGCCATCCAAGCACAAAGGTTGCTTTCCTGTCTCTAGATCAGCAAACATCTTCTAAAACTAGCATTCACAAGCAACACAACAAGCAGAGGGAAGACACTGAGTTCTTGATCCACTCTCAGTCTGTCCCAGCAGTATAGTGTCCCTCACTCACCTGAGTTTCTGCAGCCAGGCGTGGCATGGAAGCTGCCCGGCCCTGGCTCTCCAGGCCTGGTTGGTGCTCTCCATTGGCAACTGTGGGGCTGATTTCCCTCATTTCTACCACCTGATGGAAACATGGAATGATTTCAGTAGCCAGAACATGACTATCAGCTTTGCAGCTGTCATCTGAGCATGCTTCTGCTAAGCTTGACTGTATTGTGAAGAGATGTTGCGATGGGAAAGAGAGTAAATGAAGAGCTGTGGAATGCACAGGTTACTCTGCCTACTCTGTCTTCAACAAGGACTGCAGTGGGCCAAGCTGCTCCACCAGCCATGAGCCCCAGCTCTGACCTGTAAAACCTCTCAGCTGAGTTGGGACAATGATGACAATGGGATTGAGACAATGGGAAGAGATAACCTTAGGGCACCTATTGCAGCAAGACTGAAATCCATGAAAAACATGTCCACATGGACAGCTACCAGATTTGGTTCATCTCCATCATGTTCCAGCAAACTTGGCGTTGTAAGAGACAGAACAATACTTGCCTCAAGGGACAGATCCACCATTTAATGAATGTCACCTTGTCTTCTTCACCTGTTTCATCTAAACATTTTCTGAAATGTACAAATTTCTCCCCCAGTTCTAAAATCTGGTGCCTCTCCATCAGTCTGTCCCTCCTCCCCCTTTTCTCACCCTCTCAGTGGGGATCTCCTCCGAGTGGCCTCGCTCAAATGCTGGTGTCCTGGTCTCATAGAACACGTCCTGGGTGCGTTGGGTCCCCCAGGAACTGGACTCCTTGATCCCACACTCTGGGGCTGGCCTGGCACAAGGCAAAGAGGAGAAAAGATTAACTCTTTTGCAAAGAGGTTTTGCTGAACTCACTGTGATGGTGGCAAACCACTCAGATACCCTGTGAGGTTTCACTTGTGATAGGCACAGCTGCTGGGGAAGCTCTAAGGTCCCCTGAGTTTTGCCAGGGCCACATCCTATAGAGCCTGAAGGTCCCATGAGAACAAGAAAACCAAACCAGCCACCATTTTTTCTTTTATTTTACTAAGAAAAACAACTTCTGTGACTTAATTCCTAATGAAAAGAATGAAGAATTTTGGAGTTCAGGCCAGATATGTGTGCAGGACCACTCAGACATTGGTCAGACCCTGTGATCACACTGAAGTCCTTCACTGAATGCACACATAGCTCTGGGTTTCACCATTAAGGGTGATGTTGGCTTCCTCATCAGGGTTATTTGGGATGTTGAAACCTCAGATGTCTATCACTAAAAATCCATAGTGCTTGTGACCCAGAAGAAAGTCACCCGGAGAGTAGGAAACAGAGAATTGATTAAGGATCACTGTTACTGTAACTGTCTGGGAAGCTCTCTGTGGAGGGATTATTTTGCCCAAACAGACAGATTCTGTCATGGCAAGCCTAAAGAAGCTCTTGCTGTTACCAAGTGCCATGAGTTTGAGGGATGACTTTGTTCCCAAGGACATTTGGACTCCCAAGAACTCACTGAGGTGGTGGTTGGTGGGTTAGGATTTGTTTGGCTGTTTCGCAGTGATCCCAAATTCCTGTAAGCAAACTCACCTTACTTACACCTAGCCACAACAGAAAGTTCTCCATGAACATTCAAAGGAGACCACTAAGGAAAAACACAGCTCTGGAGACTCCAACAGTACCACCACATGGATAACTGCAGTGGGAGGCAGAGACAGACAGAGGCATTTTGCCAGGCCCCAGTGGGAATTGTCCCAGCCATGGTGTGAATGAGCTGCTGGTCTTGGTGCCACCAGCTGTGCTGCCTCATCTCCAGAGCCACTGAACCAGCAGTGGTTTGGGCTGCTGCACACCCCCAGGGTGCTCCTTCTCTGTGTGGAAGGTCAGGGGGTACTCACAATGCTCCCCCGTTGTTGAGGGAGGCTGAGCTCTTCTGGCGGAGGAAGGCCTTGGCGTTGTTGAAAGCTGCAGGTTGGGTTTGCTCCAGAGTGGCCTTCAAGGGGTGGAAGAGTGACACTGGTCCAGGCTGCCAAGTACAAGGGAAGAAGATTATCAGAGCTGTGATGGGCTGCAGTGCTTTTCCTAGTTAATTATATGTTCACTTTGCCACCCTGGGAGATGAGCCCAGCAGAAAGCCATCCCCAGCCTGCCCACAGCTGGAGGAGGCTCTGAGGGACTCCTCAGCTCTGCACAAGCCAAGTCATACTGCAACCCCCTTCCCTCTAAGTGTTCTTCTGGTCACCAGAGCACTCAGGGATTTCACACACAGCTGTGGCCAGAGGGGCTGTGCAATTCAGGTGGCTCCTTGTGACACTGGGTCTGCTGTAGCCACCCATCAGTGGGACACATGTCCATGCCATGCTGGAGATCAGCTAGGTGATCATCCTGAAGACAGTTTGTCCTGATGCAAACCACTGAGCTTTCTATCCCAAGCCACTTGTGTGGAAATATCTTCAAGAAATTGTAAAAATAACTTCAGACCTGTTAGAGTCACAAGGGTTTTGAATAATTCCTATTTTCAAAGGTAACTTTAAACATTTTATAGCCAAACTATCAACAGCTTTCAATAATTCTTGCACGTCCCAAAGACATCTTTTGGTGTTCCCCAGTTCCTAGGTCCCTTCTGAAAATAGCCTGACAAATGGCCCTTGACAGTTTTTGGGGGAAGCTCTTTCTGAATCTACTGGAAAATGCAACTCCAACAACTTCTTTTAATATTTTGTGAGGGAGAAAGACTTTCAGGAGAGGTTTCCATTTTTCAACCCCCAACTGGAGAAGCATCCAGACATTCTGGATGAATCCAGCAGGTGACCCTCATGAGTTGCCCAATGCTGGAGAAGTGGCTGTCCAAGAGGGAGGATGGAGAAGGACACCTCTTGGCTGAGTACCTGGCACAGGCCTCCAGGTGGTTGAACTTGTTCTCTGCTGTTCTTATTCTGCTTGTAGAAGTCAAATATCATCAGTGCTGCGTAGACCTTCCCCACAGTCATTTCATCAGCTGCCAGAGGGTGAAATGCAGCAGAGATATTCGAAGGATGATGGGAGGAGGAGAATAAGTCAAAGAGAACGAAAATAACAACAAAGGAGTGTGGAAAACAAGGAAGGGGAAGAGGCAACATTAGAATAATGAGGCAAAACACTCACAGAAAAGTGGGGGTAAGAAAAAAAGACAAAGTTACAACAGACTTCCTCAGCTCTTTGCCTGTTGCTGCCCTTCCAATCCAAGAAGGATGGCCCATCTCTAGCTTGCTGGGGCAAACACTCATAGAGATCTTGTAAGAAATCCCAGGCAGGAAACCTCTGTGGCATTGTAAGCATTGCTGACAGAACTGCTAAATTCATACCAGACCCACAGCCAGCTCTTTATCAACAAAGAAGCCTTATTCCTACTTCTTTGAATTACAGTCATAATGGGCTAATATACATTTAAAGAGTGTTTCAGTTTTCCAGATGGCTCCTTTCACCCTCAGAGCCATGTGCCCAGCCCTTCCCCACACAGCACTGGAGCACTCACCATGGAGCAGAGGTGGAGTAGTGTGTATATATATAGGCATCAAGAGAGGAGGGGAGGAAAATATTTAAGCAGTCACTGCCTACTGATTTGTACCTCCTCATCTCCCTCATTTTTCTTAATTAACAAAGCCTTTATTGCTCTGCACTCCTGCTCATTAATCAGGAACCCAGAGCCCTTGGCTGGGCTAATCAAGATAATGGCAAACTTTCCATTTTCTCAGCACATTCACCCAGGACATCATTAAGTAACACAGAAGCACAGAATGGGTCAGGCTGGAAGGGGCCACAGTGGGTCATCTGGTCCAACCTCCCTCCTCAAGCAGGGTCAGCCCAGAAGACATGGCACAGGATTGTGTCCAGATAGTTCTGGAATATCTCCAGTGAGGGAGAATCCACACCCTCTCTGGGCAATCTGTTCCAGTCCTAGTCACTGCACAGGAAAGAAGTTTTTCTTCATGTTCAGGTGGAACTTCCTGTGCATGTTTCTGCCTATTGCCTCTTGTCCTATTACCTGACACCACCAGCAGAGCCTGATCCTCCCTCTGACACCTCCCTTCAACACAAAGTTCTTTACTCCAAATTACCTCACTTTAGATGCCTATTGCCTCCTATTACCTGACACCACCAGCAGAGCCTGATCCTCCCTCTGACACCTCCCTTCAACACAAAGTTCTTTACTCCAAATTACCTCACTTTAGATTCTACAAGTTCTCAGCAAACTGTAATTTTCTCCCAGTTTTCTGGGGCTCAGATGGGAGAAATTGCCCTCCCATCCTTCAAGGCACAGACTGGAGGCTGACCAAGCTATGGAAAACCTGACACCACCAGCAGAGCCTGATCCTCCCTCTGACACCTCCCTTCAACACAAAGTTCTTTACTCCAAATTACCTCACTTTAGATTCTACAAGTTCTCAGCAAACTGTAATTTTCTCCCAGTTTTCTGGGGCTCAGATGGGAGAAATTGCCCTCCCATCCTTCAAGGCACAGACTGGAGGCTGACCAAGCTATGGAAAAGCTCTGGAAGAGGCTACACAGGGAATCAGACCTTTCTTGGCACTGTTTTGGGTTTTTCCCCCCCTATGTATAGGATGTCTACTGTATCATAATGAAGTACATGCCTAGATGTGCCCTCAGCTTCCCTAACCTCTACATGAGCATGGCATGGCAGTACAGAGGATGCCAAGAAGCTGAACTGCCCTTGCTTTCTTTGCTGCTTCCTTCAGATCACTGTGTGCCCAGAGGGAGTGTGGGACAGCACAGGCAAGGAGGGAGAAACCTACTCCAGGCTTTAGGCAGGTGTGATGGGTCAGGTCCTTGCTAATGACCCACTTACGTTTGTGAGGAGGCACCAGCAGATCCAAAGTCTTCTGGGACAGATTGGGCCAAACCAGGGAGATCTCCTTTCTCAGCTCAGCATCACACTGGTGCTGCTTAACACCACCTGCAGAAAGGGAGGGGAGAGAAAGAGGCAGAGGGAGAAGAGTGAAACCCCTTGTCCTGCCAGCACATACCAACATTTGCATCCCCCTTCCCATTCCTTGAGAAGGCTGAGCCAGCACAGCTGTTGTGAAGAGAATCAGTGACCTCCTCTGTGACAGAAGTGTGTGAACTCAGCAGGACCATCATTGCCTCAACCTGCTGACCCTCTGCTGTTACTTGGGGCTTAAACTTCAGCTCAGACTTATTCCACCTAATTGCAGGTGCCTGATTGTTTGGGGCACTGGGTAGTGCTCACTGAAAGCAGCAGCACCTCCCAGGTGGGATGCAGAACACATGGTCTGAGGTGCAGGACATGAATTCCAGACTGGTTTAGATTGGAAGGGACCTTAAGGATCATCCAGTTCCAACCCCCTGCCATGGGCAGGGATACCTTCCACAGATCAATGGTTACAAACACTCTCCACCAACAACTCTTCCAAAAATCTCTGGCAACAAGACATGAGCTCACTAGTCTGTACCAGCAGCTCCATCACAAGGTAAACCAGGAAGAGCTGAACAAAGCAGCACTGTTCAAAGGGCCAAAGTGAGGTCTTAATGCTCAAGTGGAAAGTGATTAAAGCCTGTGTAAGCCAACAGGGCAGCTCCCAGCTGAATGCACCACACAAGAGACAATTAAGTAGTTCAGCTGAATGACAGAGATTATTTTGCTAAGAGAAAAGTAATGGGAGGAGGCTGTGGGTGCTCTGCTACATGGTGGTTTGAACTCCCACACGGAAATTCATTAGGGAAGGTTTATTAAGGGCCTCTTAGTCTCAGTAAAGACTCAATTAAATGTAGCACATGAAACCTATTCAAATGAGCTCATAACAAGAAAACAGGTCAAACCTTCACACCCGACAGCAGATAAAAACCTTAGAAAGAATCTAGTGCTATTAGCTGAGCTCTCCTCTGGCTCCCTTGTAGCTTGTAGCCAAATAAGAGGTGGGGGGAAATTTTTCCAGTTGAAAAAGGCTGTTTAAATGACCATTGCTGACAGGTAATAGGAAACCTACAATAACACAAACTCTCAGCATCCTTATGTAGAAGCTGTTCCTGAAATAAGGAGTTGGCCCTTAAAGTCACAGCAAGTCCTGAATGCATCCTTAGAAACAACTGTCTATTCCTTGGTGTCAATCCCTAGGGGAGTCCCAGTGACCTCCAAATTTTGTCTGTCCCAGCAGTACCTACTCAAAGCATCAAAGGCAAAATCTAAGCAACATGCAGGGGAGGTAATTAACAGAGGAAGGTTGCATGTCTGGCTTAAAGCCACTTAGGAAAGCACAATGACCTAACCCTGCCGTGCCCTTTCCTCGTAAGAGCTTTGTTACCTCCTGTTAGCTTTTAAATTAGGTATAAAAGTGCCCTGGCCAGGCATGCCTCGCTTGTGACCCCAGCCAGCCTGATTAACTGGGGTAATGACCCAGAGAAAGGGCCAATGTATTTCATTACATTGCAAAGTTTAATTGGGAAGTCAAGTAAACGCCTGATTAACCACTTAAATAATTCAATTTTATCTCAAGGCAGAACGTGGTTCACAGCATTTGCAGTCACTGCTTTGCTGCCAGCAGAGAGAAAGCAGGGAGGAAGGGCTGGTTTTGCCCCATGCTGGAATAGTTAAGAAAAGAGGTGTTGAAATTCTTGTTTCTGTTAGACAGCAAGGAGCACACGCACAGAGCTTCTCCTCTGAGAGCTCTCAGCTGGGATAGCCACAGTTCACATCTCATCACCAGGGATGCCACCCCAAAGGCAGAGTGATGCTCAGGACCCCTCTATGCCTGCCCTAAGGAGAACCTTGTCCTTAGAAGCTGGGATAGCAGGCAATAGGAAAGAGGATTTCCACCTGGGGCAGAATTTCTGTGGTTCCAGGAGGACATGAAGCCAACAGAGAAGTTGGAGCTTGAGCCACATGTGCTCTCAGCAAACTGCAGTTTCTGGTTTTCTGATGCTCAGATGATAGAAATAGCTCTCCCATCCTGCAAGACACAAGCTGGAGGCTGGCAAAGCTATGGAAAAGCTCTGGAAGAGGCCACATAGTGCATCAGTCCCTTCTTGGCACTTTTTGGTTGTGGTTTTTTCCTACTGTAGCATAATGAAGAACATGCCTGGATGTGCCCTTAGTTTCCCTAACCCCTGTGTGACCATGGCATGGCAGTACAGGAGCTGAACCACCCTCAGTTTCCTTGCTGTATCCTCCAGATGACCCAGGCATGCCCTCAGACATCCCCTCCTCTCACCTGAGGCTAGTTTGATCTCCAGGGCAGTGCGGATCAGAGCCATCAGGGTGGAGGTGAAGTGGACAGTTAAATCCTCCGGAGATATTGGCATGTTCATCCGCACCAGGCGCTGGGGAGAGAAACACACTGGTTGTGAAGGTGGGTCAGGATTCCTCCCCCCCACCCTTCCCTCCCCCTCTGCAAGCCCCTAAAATAGTCATACTGAAACATGGGAACTTTTTGTGCACTGAGCTGAAATGCATCTTCTCCACATAGGTGTGAGCTCTGAGGTATCTAAGTGGCTTTAGTGGTTAAACAAGTGATTTGCCAGCACTGGACTGCAATCCTACAAAGAGAGCTCTTCTAAAAGAAACCAGTTGGGATGCTCTCCTGCCCTTTCACAGCCTGGTACACTGCTCCTCTGACAGCCTCCAATGACATCTGGAGTCTCCAGATGTGGCTGGTATCTATCACCCCTTCCAAACCAGTGTGATACAACCAGGAGATACAGACCATGAGTCCACCTCCTCCACCCTTTCCTACACCAGGTGCCTTCACCTAAATTCTACAACAGGAGTGATAGCAACAAACAGGACCTGGCACTATTGAATGAAGAGGATGGAGGGTTTGCATCTGCCATCTGAGGATGAAGATCCATCCTGAAAGCAACTGTGCCTCTCCCTGCTGTGCAGATGGCCTTGCCAGTGAGAGGGATGCAAGGAAGGCACTTCCAGTGACAATGATAATGGAAGGTATGTGAGGGCTTTGTACAGTCCCTGGAGTGGTACTGTGATAGTGCATTTTGGACACTTGAAAACAAGGCTGGTGAGCCCTGGTGTGTCTCTGGGGCAGCTTGGGACTGGCTGCTAATAGGTAAAGGTGTGGAATATCCTTTCTACTGGAGACAGTTGGGTTCTGGCTCTTACCTCCTTTCCCTGTGGGCATCCTTGTCTCCTCCCTTCCTTCCAGTCAAGGAGCTATACAGCTCTATGCAGACCTTACCCATAGGGGAAGAGGTTGGATTAGTATGAACAGGACTATCATTTCCCACAATAATGTTCTTTCAATCTGAACATGAAATAGTCCTTCAGGACAAGTATCTTCCAAGATCTTCAGACCTGGTAGCAACTCCTTCCCCAACACTAGCCAGAACCACCTCTGACAGGGCAAATTCCTCATTCTCAGAAGCAAGGAAGTACCTGAGATTGCTTTACAAAGCTGTGGCTCCCTGAACACTGCTGGCAGCAGAGCAGGTACATGTTGACAGGGAGAAACCTTCGCCAAGCCTTGCTGATAACCTCAGGAATGCATTTAAAGGATGGATTTCTTCTCCTAATGGTTTATCAGCTGCTCAGCTTTCACAAACTGCTTGGAAACTTCCCTGGCCAGAGCCATATCAGTGTTTCCGTTCTCCAAGGGGATGTGCAACCCGAGGAAGTCACCGGGTGTTGATCTGCCTGAGCAGCCTGTAAACCCCACTGCTAGCTTGGCCTGGGCCCCTTGCTAGGGTGGGAATTTCATCCCCATCTGAAAGCTGCTTAGGCTGTTATTTTGATCCCTATCTCTGCCCAGAAACCTTCTCTTTGTTTAACAACAGCCCAACATGCTGTTAGAGCTGTAAGTGTGGCCAGAATGTGCTGCAGGCTCAGCTCTTGGCTCTGGGCACTGCAGCACTGAGCACAAGGCTGGGAATCATTTTCTGATGCAGTTGCTGGTGCAGTCCCCACCACAGTGTGACTGCAGAGCAGCCCTGCTGACCCTCCCTACTGGTCTGGGGAAGCTGTGTAGCAGAAGTGAGAGCAGGAACTTGCCTGGAGTCTCAGGCAAGGCAAGAGGCAGAGTGCTCGGTGTGAGCACTGATTCCTGCTCTTATGTTTTACCCAAACCAAGCCATGACTGGTGAATGAAGACTTGGTCACCCTTTCCATCTTTGGGTTAACCTCCCACTTCAGAGAAACTTCTGACATACAACTTCCCAGAGGTATGGACTGAGCTGCCTTAGAATGAGACTGGTTTGGCTTGGAAGAGACCTTAAAGCTCATCTTGTTTCAACCTTTCACTAGACCAGGTTGGGGTTGGAAGAAACCTTAAAGCTCATCTTATTCCAATCTTTCACTAGACCAGGTTGGGGTTGGAAGAAACCTTAAAGCTCATCTTATTCCAGTCTTTCACTAGACCAGGTTGGGGTTGGAAGGGACCTTAAAACTCACCTTGTTCCAAACTTTCACTAGCCCAGGTTGCTCCAAGTCCCATCCAACCTGTCCTTGAACACTTCCATGTGTTTGTGTGCTCTGAGGCAGCCCCCAGCCCTGGTACCTTCTGCCAGCCATGGAGAAAATGTCCCTCCCCAGGGTGGACAGGTGTTGGTGCTGACACACCAGCAGACAGAGGGCACAGGGTATTGGTCCTGTGCAAAAATCCTTCTGCTGAAGGCTTCAGAGGAGCTGAGACCTCCTTATTCATCTTATTCCATGTCTTTTGCTCTCACTGCATGCCACAGGGATGAGACTGATGTAACAACTTCCCTCTCCTAAAGTCTGAGACAAACCATTCTAATCTCAAAGATCTTCCTTGCATCGTGCCCAGAGGTTATCTTCCATGTCTGCCAAGCCTCAGAGCCAGGGAAATCAAAGCCAAGAATCTCCTCCCTTTGTAAAGCAGTGACAGTATCAAATGCTGGCAACACCACACGTTTTTTTTTTCTGTTCACTTGTGGCAAATCAAACTGGCTTTTAATTCAGATTTCTGCCCTCAGCACACAAAAAGTTGCAATAAGTACATCAATGAGAGTCCACAGTTCCCACTCACAGTGTCCCACTGAATCCACTTCAGTGGGAGAGAGAGTTAAGGGATGGAGAGAGAAAGAAGATGCATGGAAGTGAAGAACAAGCAGATGAGAAATAATTCCCCACAGGAGAGCTCTATCCTCACAAACACTAGCACCAAAACCCATTTGGGGACTGAGACATCCCAGATCCCCTCAGCTGACTTTGCAGACCGAATTCCCAAAGGACATGGATGCAGAGCACAGGTCACATCACAGCTATACACAGAAGGGCTGGATGAAGGTCTTTCCTTTAAAATTTTAACCAGGGACAGAGGATTTAGGGAAAGGTTTTCTAAGGGGATGCAAGAAGGTTCACTGAGCAAAACCCACATGCAAATGCTGAGTGCTGCAAACATCCACCTGGAAGAGGCTCTCCCCAAACCATCTCTTCCTTTCTGCAATTCCCTCCACACTGCATCATCTACAGCACTTTTTCCTGGTCAAACAAGTCAACCTGGACACCTGCAGATCATTGCAATTTCCCATCTGATAACTCAGCAACCAGCAGAAACAGGGGGTTTGTGCCACTCCTTGACTGCACCAGAGCCCACAGCCAGGGATGGCCCAGCTCTAGGGACCAGGAGAGAGGAGGAATGATCTGGTTTGAGTAGGATGTCTCCCTCTCTCAGGGTGGCAAACTGTGATACACCTCCCCATGCACCCCTGGGACAGCTAGTTGACAACCAGTTGAGGAGCACTTGCAAGGTGGGCTGCAAGTTGCATCTACCAGGGCAGAGCAGCTGCTCATTTCTTACTCAAAAAGGACATAAAATGACACATAAAATGCCTTATAACCTGCTACAGCCAAGCCCAACCAATCTCCATTACAAGTCACCCTAGATCCCTCTCAAAATCGATGAAAATTACTTTCTTGAAAGCCACTGACTTGAGAAAATACGTTGCTTAAATGAATAGACATTTCTGGGGGGGCTCCT